CTGCCTCCATAGTAATACTCTATGATGGTTTTGCCTGCCCAAAGTGACTCTTCCCCATGCCAAACTTTTCCCTTCCCGTGCTGCTGGCCTCCTCGGTGATTGTTACCTTATGATGTTCCCTGCTGCAACTCTTCACTAATTTCCTTTGACCTCATGTCTACACCTTACCCCCACCCCAGGGAGCCCCAGGAAAGGATGGAGCACCTGGTTTCCGAGGAGACAAAGGAGATACTGGCTTCATGGGCCCCAGGGGCATCAAGGTGGGAAGGGGATCAGGTTTTTTGTTTTGTTCTGTTCTTCTTGTCAGGAAGGCTGGATACTGGAGGGTGAGGAAGCTGGGGTCAGATGTTAGGGTATCCAGGGATGAATGTTGGGTGTTAGGTCAGATGTTGGAATGTCTAAAGTCTGTTGGGGGAGTTAGTTTTAGGGTGAAGAGCTCATATGGTGAAGTACCTGGAAGTTTCTTTCTCACCTGCTTTTTGCCCTTAGGGTGAACGGGGGATGAAGGGAGCCTGTGGCCTTGATGGAGAGAAGGGAGACAAGGTACAGAGGTAAAAGTTAGTGTGGGGACCATGGTATCTGGTACCCAAGACTGACCCCAAACCTGATGCCTGTAGGGAGAAGCTGGTCTTCCTGGCCGTCCAGGGCTGGTAGGACGAAAAGGAGAGATGGTGAGTATGAGGAACACCCAGAATGAGGAGGACCAAGTGGGCCAGGTGGGATACGGCTGGGCCAGGGTCTAAGCTCTGTTTTCTTTTCTCCAGGGGGAGCCTGGTGTGCCAGGCCAGTCTGGGGCTCCTGGCAAAGAGGGCCTGATTGGTCCCAAGGTACAGGATCTCTTGAGTGGTCATGATGGGGAGTCAGGATGGGGCAAGGAAAGCTACAATAGGGTGATGAGGGTTTAAGGTCAAGGAAGGTTGTAGAGGGTTCAGGTGTTGGGGGATGGTGTGGGGCTAGTCGTGAGATTTCAGGATGGGCAAGGATCACAGTGGAGAGTTTAGATGAAAAAGTGGAACATGGAGCAGAGGTTCATGTATATCAGGGTGGTGGGTTATAGACGGGTTGGTGTCATGGGGATCACAGCTGGTAATCACAGATGCTCAGATCATGGAAGGTTGTAAGCATTGAGCCTGGGGACTCATGGGAGTTTGGGGAGGTTCAGGATCTGAGGGAGGTCAAGGCAAAGTGTCTCTTATGTTTCTTCTGTTCCCAGGGTGACCGAGGCTTTGATGGACAGTTAGGACCCAAGGGTGACCAGGGTGAGAAAGGAGAGCGGGTAAGTCAAGGTCAAGATCATGGTAAACTGAGGAGAGCATGCTCTTTGGGAGTGAGTTCATCTTTCAAGATTTTTATTACTGACCCTATCCCATCTCTCTTCAGGGATCCCCAGGAATTGTGGGTTTTCCAGGTCCTAGGGGCAATGATGGTGCTAGTGGTCCCCCAGGGCCACCTGGTGGTGTTGGTCCCAAAGGCCCTGAAGGACTTCAGGGTCAGAAAGTAAGAGTTCTTGACTGAATTCTCTGACTCCTAAGCTCTGAACCTCCCTACCCTTTTGTTTTTGGTATGGGGGAGTGGTGCTAGGGATTGAACCCAGGGCTTCACATATGTTAGGCAAGTACCCTACCACTGAGCTACATTTTTAACCCTCCCTACCTTTCCTACCTCTCGGACTTCTGACTTTGCAACCCATTCCCCAGTCTCCTTGCCCCAACCTCTGAAGCTGTGATCCCAAATTTGCCTGTTTTCTGACCCTTACCAACTCTGGTCTTGCTCACTTGATCCTTGTGTCTGGCAGGGTGAGCGAGGTCCCCCTGGAGAGAGTGTGGTAGGGGCCCCTGGGGCTCCTGGGACCCCTGGTGAGAGAGGAGAGCAGGTAAGTGGGATTTCTAGGCTCGAGGTCAAAGATTGGGGTGACCCTGATGTCCCTGAACCTGAGGTCACAGCCTATTCTTATCTGTTGCACATAGGGGCGGCCAGGGCCCATTGGTCCCCGTGGAGAGAAGGGAGAAGCTGCATTGACAGTAAGTGTGGGTCTTTGTGGGCTAGGGCTCTGTCTCCACACCCAACACCCTGAGCCCCTGGACCCTAGGCTCCTGACTCTTTTTGACCCCTGCATTATGTGCCTGATGTCACTTCTGTGATTCATGGGTTCTTCATGGTCCTTGTGGTCTTGTCTCCAGGAGGATGACATTCGGGGCTTTGTGCGTCAGGAGATGAGTCAGCATTGTGGTGAGTGAGCCTAGCCTGGAGTGTCTGGTACCTTGTCCCACTCTGTCCCAGAACACCTAGATAGGGGCTGACAGGTCCCCAATACTTACAGGAGGCAAGTGTCAAAGAGATGAGTTGAGATGGATAGGTATTCAGAAGGGCACACATACTGTAGGACAGGATGCTGACAGAAATTCTCTCAGTGATGAGAGATGCGCAGCAGATGTAGATAGCCACAAAGTTGAGGATTTCAGAGTCGCCATGTGTGGAGGGAATAGAGGAGGAAGCAGAGCTGGTCCCACTGGCTCTGACACAAGCCAGGCAGCGATGAATTTGGGAACATCAGAGTGAAGCTCTGCTCTTCCTCTCTTTCTCTTTGTAATTTTTTTTTTTAATATTTATTTTTTTAGTTGTAGTTGGACACAATACCTTTATTTCACTTATTTATTTTTATGTGGTGCTGAGGATTGAACCCAGGGTCTCGCATGTGTGAGGCGAGCGCTCTACCACTGAGCCACAACCCCAGCTCTGTAATTTTTTGATTAATTCTTTTGTTTGTACTTTTTCCTCTTTTTTTTTGCAACTGCATTTATTGTCTATGCCTACCTGTTTCTGTCTCCCTCTATTCTTGCCCTTTGTTGACCTTTTCCCAATTTCTCATTCCTGTCTACTTCTCCTCTATCTTTCTTCCTCTTTCTCCCTCTTTTCACTCTCTCTCTTTGCCTCCTTCTCTCTATCCTTCTACCTATCATTCTCTCTATTGGTCCTTCTATCACTGTCTCTCCTGCTGTTTCTCTGTACATCTCAATCTCCCTCTGTGTGTGTGTATATGTGTGTGTGTTTGTGTGTGTCTTCCCATCTTTCTTTTGTCTCTTTCTCCCTTCATCATTGTCTCTTTCTACCCTTTTCAGCCTGCCAGGGACAGTTTATTGCATCTGGATCACGTGAGTAGTTTTCTGTGCCTAGAACTTTCTTCACCCTAGGTCCTGCCCTGTCTATCACCTGGGGAGTGGCTGGTATGGCCGCTCATGATGACCCCACGTGTCATCACTTGTTCTTTGCTCCAGGACCCCTCCCTAGTTATGCTGCAGACACAGCTGGCACCCAGATGCACAGGCCAGTGCCTGTACTCCGTGTCTCTCATGTAGAAGAGGAAGGTGAGAATGACTGGACCATGGGGCATGTATGGATGGAACATGGGCATGTATCTAGGTGCTCATGCATGCAGAGCACATGCCATGCACATAGGGTCCACATGCAGGGCATATGCATGGATACCCTTATGCACACAGGGGGAGATTAGTGCTGCCCACACTACCCCAGGGCCAGCAGCTTCTCCCTCATGGTATATCCCACTGTGCTGTAGACCAAGTGCCCCCTGAAGATGACGAGTTCTCAGAATACTCTGAGTATTCTGTGGAGGAATACCAGGACCTTGAGGTTCCTTGGGATGGTGATGGTGAGAATGAGGGATGTGCCTAGAGGGGTTCAGGTAAGGGCAGGTGGAGCCATTCCCTGCTGGCCTCTCATTGATCCCCATTGACCCCAGACCCCTGCTCCCTACCTCTGGATGAGGGCTCCTGTACTGCCTTCACCCTGCGCTGGTACCATCGGGCTGTGCCAGGCAGGACAAAGGCCTGTCACCCCTTTGTCTATGGTGGCTGTGGAGGGAATGCCAACCGTTTTGGAACTCGTGAAGCCTGTGAGCGCCGCTGCCTGCCCCACGTGATCCAGAGCCAGAAAACAGGTAGAGGCTTAGCCCCACCTCAGCAGGGAACTGGGCCCTGAGGATCAAGGTCATGAGTGAGAAGCTCCCTCAGAGTGGGGGACCTGGGATGGACCCCCCAGATGAAAGAACTGAATACAGAACCTCAACTGTAGAACTCCCATTATGGTCCCTCTCCATGTTCCCTTCTTTAAAGACCTGAGTATGGGTCCTTCTCTGAGTCAGAGCCCCACCTACTGCTAGGCTTCTGGTCCCCACAGCACTCCCTATCCCGCCAGAAGGTGTTTTGCCGTGTTTCTCTGTGGTCTGCATACTGTGTAAGGGGGTCAGGGGCTGAAGACAGTCTCTAACCTGCTCCACCCAGGTGCTGCCCAGAGTTGATGAGCTGCTGTTTAGTGTCCCCTGGAAGAATCTGGATCTCAACAGGTCCTGCTGTCCCTCCCCTTGGTGCTAGAGACCTCTGTGCACATGAGCGTGTGTGTGCATGTCCATTATTTCAGTGACTTGGTCCTGTGGGTCTAGCCTTTGTCCCTATGGACAAACCCCCATTGTGGCTCCTGCCTCCCTGGTGGATGACTCACCATGGGGGGTGGCTATGGGCAGTGAGCGGAGGTGACTTGCGTCTGACCCACCCCTTGACCCAGGCCTGTGATGCCATGGTGCTGATTCTGGGGGGCATTAAAGCTGCTGTTTTAAAATGTCCTTGTTATGACTTCTTGGGGGTGATGTTGTGGGGGGCATATTTTCCCTCGGGGGAGTCAGTATTGCATGAATACAAAGTCCTGCTGCACCGCCATGGTCATTTTCCTGTGACCCTCAGAAAGAAGCAGATAAAGATGTGTCCTTACTGCTTGCTAGGAGGGGATGAGTCATAGGTGGGGGCTGCCTCATGCCAGGAAACACCCACCTCCCACCACAGTGGGCTAGTGGAGATAAATGGGCCCAGAAGTGGAGCAGAGGGTCAGAACATAGGATAGCATCGCCTGATCCCAGCCCCAGCAGCCATAGACATCGCAACTTACCCCAGAGGAAGCTGTCAGTGGTAGGACTGGTGTTGGGTCGGGAGAGGTCTTGGGGGTTGAGTGGTCCTTGGGTTCAAGTTCATGGAGATATATGGACCTGGGAGGGTCTGAGGTCTCCAGCTGCTTCTCTGCCTCAAGGATTCCCATTCCTACTACTTCTTCTTAAATCAGCTGTCTGTTTTTTCTGACTCTGAATCTGTTTCCATCATGGTGTCTCTGGATGGTTTCTGTCTCTGTCTTTTCTTCCAGTCTCCTATTTTGCTCTGCCTTCATCTCATTCATCTCCCTTTCCTTCTCCTTTCCCCCCTCTTTTGTGTTTTTGATTTCTCTCATTCCCCTTTTCAATCTTTCTGTCTGGGGGCCCCCCTTCTCTGTTTAGCTCTGTCTTGATTTACTCTAGCTTTCTTCTCATCCCTTTATCTTTGTCTCTCACTGACTTTCTCTCTGTCCCTGGCCTGGCCTCCCTGTCTGTCTCTTTGACTCTTCCTCTCTCTCTCTCTGCTCTTGCCATCTGTTTCTGTCTGTTAACCATAGTTGACAGAGCCCCTTCCCTGAGCCTGTTTTCTCCTCACAGCCTGACCACATGATGACCAGGTGGGCTCCGCTGGTGCTGATGGTCCTGATGTTGGGCAGAGTCATGGTTGTTTCAGTGACCCCTATCCCAGCCTTCCAGATTCTTCCTCAGAACTATTCCCAGACCACTCCTTTCTCTGTGTCCTTGAAGAGCCCCTCAGCTACTGCCACAAGTCCCTCAGCTGCCTGGAGCTACTCAAGCCCTGTACCCCGCCTTGGACCACGTATCGCCCTCTCACTGGATGTCCCCATTGGCCTCCTACAGATTTTACTGGAGCAGGCCCGGGCCAGGGCTTCCAGGGAGCAGGCTGCAACCAATGCTCGCATCCTGGCTCACATTGGCCGCCGCTAAGCCTGAGAGAGAGAGGGTTATAATGATGGGGTTGGTCTGGATGGAAAAACATAGAGGATGGCAACAGAGCTGGATCATACTACATCTGGGCAGAGTGCACTTGAACACCACTGTAATAGGCCACTGCCAAGTAGTGTCTTATCCCATCTGAGTGTACCACAGTCAGGGGCTCTGGACACCTTGGACATTGTTGTATTGATGTCTTGCCATGCCTGTGTACTCTACAGACTTACAGTATGTTTGGAAAGTTTGAACAGTACCATACAAGGTCACTGCCAAGTACAATATTGCTATGTCTTGGTGCTCCACAGTCACAGGGCATCTGGACATTATTACATGGGGTAACCATCATGTTATATTCAGAAGCCTCAAAACAAGAAACGAACACTGCATCTGAGACCAGTCCATCTAAGGCCTACAGGTTTTTCCCCCTCCTAGGCCACCACACATGGAAGTGCTGGCTGAAGTTTACATACATGTGTTCTGCTTCACGAGGCAGCTTCTATCCCAGATAGATACGACTGTACACAGAAAGTCTGACCATTGTGTCTTACCTTGTGGGTGTCTGTGCACGTGTGGCTGAGTCTCTATGTGCTGCCTTTTACAAACAAAGCTCTGACAGCTGAGTATGTGAGCAAGATGTGTGTGGGGGGGTGTAAGAGAACAGGGAGGAGTGGGTACTTGTCCCTCAAACCTGCATGAAGCACACGTACCACATAACTGGGCATTGTCTTTCACATACCCAGTTTTGATTCTTGGAAACAAAGACTCGGGAGAGGCGGCTTAGTCTGCCAAGCTCCAATCTAACTCTATCCAGTCCTTACTGAATTATCCTGAGCAAAGGTGTTCTGTAAAGCAGAGTGATGCCACTAAGCTTCTTGGGAGCACTGAGTGACATAGTGTACATGAAGGTTGTGGCTGCAAGAGGCACTCAATAAACATCAAGTGATTGAAGGATGGGATGGACAAGAATCACACAGTCATGTGCACCCATGCAGTGACGCAGGAGGGTTGAGTCACACCTAGCTTTTCTGTCCTTTTGTCCACCCTCCTTCACCACCCTCTTTTAACTGATTTGGTCCCTTAGTTTGGAAGTAGGTTTTGCCTATTTCACATCTTCTACTCCATTACTGACCTAGAGCTAGGACTGACTTCCTGGGTGCGAGGACAGGCCTGCCTGAGGATGGGGCAGGCACTCCAGGCAAGGTAGACAACTCCACCGAAAGACAAGGGCAGCTCTGACTGGAAAGAGGCAACACTGGCCAGCCAGAGTGTGGCTGCCGGCCTGGATGGGGCCCCCAGTGTCAACCTCACAGTACTAAGCAGCCCTGGCAGGCGGGCCCAGGGCCGCTGGAGAGGCGGGGCTGCTGTACTCTGAGCCTGTCAGAGGGCGGGGTTGCCCTACTCTTCCCAAGCCGCAGGGGGCGGTGGCCCTGGTCAGTTCGGAGACAGGATGGACACAGGCACGTTAAGAGGCAGATCTCTGACCGACCCGGGGCTGGGGAGCAGCGGGCAGGGTAGGCACGGGGCAGTGTGGGGAGTGTGGGGGGGAATGGGAAAAGACCTGGGCACAGCGAGGGTGGTACTGGAGGGGATATGAGAGTGTTGGGATTTTCCCCCTGGTTTAGGGGTGCTCTGAGGAGGCATCAGTCTGTCACTGGCCTGGAGGCAGGGAAACACTGTTGCTTTGCAGGGGAGATGGGGCTGGGCCAAGGGGGAGCTATAAATAGTGTCTTCCTTTAGTCCAGGGGGGAGGGACAGCCAGCTGGAGCTGCCTGAGGCCCTCCCACTTTGCCCCTTGCTGGCCTCAAAGGGGTCATATTCTTCTACCTCCCTTTTAAGGGGTCATCCAATTTGGGGAGGACTAGAGGCTCATTTGGGAAGTTTTTCATATGATGTGGCTTTAGCTATTAAACCAGCATTTCTAGGGCACCTACCATGTGCTTGAGCTGGTCCTGAGCTTCTGAAAGCACCTACTGTGTATTCTGTTTTGCTCATGTCTCTCTGGGCCCTTTCTCTGTGCCCTGACTTGTCTCAAATTACTTTGAGCACTTACTGTGTGCCCTGTGCTGGAGTGGAATCAGGAAGTACAGATCAGAGTTCATAAGCTGCTTCTTACATGGTTCTATAGCCCCAAGTAAGACCCTCACACTCTGTGTGCTCTGGGCTACTGGGGACAGTCCCTTCTGGAAATGGCTAGAAGAGGCCAGGATTCCTAAGGACCTCCACCCCCCCAGCAATGGCAGCATTAGGTGAGGGAATAAAGAGGAAGGGAGGCAGCAGAGAGCAGCAGGCCCTGCTACAACTTGCCTGTCCCTATATACATGCCTGGGTACAGGGCTTGTTGGTACGTGTGCTTCTGCATGTGCATATGCAAGCTTGTGTGCACTGGCGTGTGAGTCTGTGTGGCATGCATTGAGCCTGCCCCCCATCCTTATGCTGCGAACGGTGGCATATTGGTTCCACCAGAATTCAGCAACAGATAAACAGACTGGAAAGAGTATGAGCCTTGAGAACTATGGGTTGAAGACTTTAGCCACACCCCACGGCTTCTGGCCTGTGACACTGGGAGGGGGTTTGGTGGTCAGTGCAGAGGGGGCACCCTGGGAGCCAACTGGAATCAGGTCAGTTACGTTCATGGTGGGGAGAGGCTGAGCCAGACATGTTCACCTATGAGTACACAGTGATATCCCAGCACACTTCCCATACCTGAGACAGGAAAGCTGGCACACTTTGGGATGCCCTGAGGAAGGAAAAGTCATGAGGACCAGTTATTTTATGGGGTACCTACTGATCCTGGGAGATGCAGACAGCCAGGAGAGAATTTCAATGAAGTGAACAACCAAGAGCCTGGGTGTGGAGGTTCAGCAATAGTGTAAAGGTGTGGGAGGTGAGGTTTTGAAGGCTGGGAATTGAGCTAAGTTCTTCCTGCATTGTGGACTGGCTCTTGGACAGACCATCAATTTTCTACCTAAGAAATAAGGCCATGGGAGGGGAGATGGTGATTACCTTCAGAGTAGATGTAGACCTTGGCTTTGGGAAGGGCCCTAGACCCTGACATTGACCTCCCAGATGAGTATATGGACATGGGAGGATGTGTCTGGGTCAGCCCAAGGTCAGCTGGGGAAGTGTGGGAGTTTACAGAGCTAAGGTGTTTCCTATGAATCAGGCTCATACTGTCTGGATGTAGAAATAGTCCTAGTTGCTTTGTCTTCCCTGGCTGTTTCCACTCCCTGCTCTCTACTAACATCCAGGAAGGCTACAGAAGAAGACAGAAGGCAGGCCTCAGGAGGTGCTGGGTGTTAGAGGAGACAGTCTCTACAATGAGTGTTGGACAGAATATGGGTGTGTGGCAATGATGTTTCGTTAGCCAGGATTGCCCCAAGATGGCCTTGGCAGTGGCCAGGCGAAAGGCAGGAGAGTTGGCTGTGTCAAGAACAGAATGAGTGGCTTTGGGGAACTAGGAAGCAGGTGGATGATCACAAGAGCCCTGGAGGGGAATGGGTGATGGAAAATGCAGCTGGAGAATGAGGAAGGAGGAAATGGTGGACCCTGCTTCAGGCAGGGCATTCCCCAGAGTAGGCAGCTAGAGCTGGTTTCAGGCAAGGTCCAGGTAGGCTTCCGGCATTTAGACCTTCTGAACCTTCATTTCCTTAAGTAGGCAAGATGTTTGTTATCAGTCATCTCAAGTCATGGAAGAAGGTGCAGCATGAACTGACAATGAGGTCAGCTTTGTTCTACATGCCCAGATCTTCTGGCTGAGTACACTGGGCAGAGAACTTCAGTTTGCAGGGACCCTGCTAGGGATGTGATGGTGGACATCACTAGAGGGCAGTGTGATCCAGGTTCAAGCCATATTTGTGAGGGCTAGGGCAGAAAGTGTCCCAAATTTGGACAGGCAGGGTTGGCAATCAGAGGAGGCAGGAGCCTGAAGGGGCTGGGCGGGTGCCAAACACATGAGAGTCAACCAGAAGGTTTCCCGAATTTCTGGATCTCTTCCTTGCCGCCTGTGCATTTGCAAAGACAGGAAGGAGATAAATAATATACTGAATCAGAACACTAATTTGTTTTGGAACAGAATTCTCAGAATGATTTGACACATTTAGTCTACACCACAATCTCTTAAGATTAATGACCAGCGCACCCATTTTCCTGATGAAGAGGAAGAAGCTATTTAAATTATTTTAAAAATGCATAAACTTACGATGAACATTTAATTGGTAAAAATGAAATCCTGGCAAGAGAATTAAGATGTGGCCAGGGTTTAGTGAATCCTCAAATAACTCAGTCACAAGATCCTGCGCATTTGCTCTAGGAGGGCAGGAGTTTAGTTTGTGCTCCCCAATAGCCAAAAACAAGAGAGAAACTCCATCGATCCTGAGATCTGTCATGTGTCTCTGTGCATAGGATAAAGGAGCTCTTCCTGCGGCGAGGAGCAGGTTGGTTTTATGGACCGGGGAGAATCTCAAGGCTCGAGCCAGACCAGGTGGTTCAGCGCAGGACCAGGAGGGCGGGGCAATTAATGGCAGGGACAGCGGACCAGGGGTTGGAGTCACGCGGAAGCCGCCAGGCTTGTTCAGATTAACCCGGCCCTGCAGATCATGCAAGCCTCGCTGTATTGCGCGCAAACACTTCCCTCCTAGGGGACTGGAGGTCAAGCTCAGCAGGAAGCGGAAGCCCTGCTTGCCGTGAAGGCGGGGCTTAAATTCCCTGGGAGGGGATCAGGGAGACCCACAGAAATCAGCAGAGCGTGATAGGTTCGCGCATCCGGGGCGGGGCCTGCATAATCCGGGCATTGGGCCTGGTGGAAATTGAGCATGCGTATTCTCGGGGCGTGCTTGGTCCAAAAAAAAAAAAAAAAGGACTGTTGGAGAGGTGGGCATGCGTAGTCGGAGCCTGGTCCTTCTGTTAGGGTGGAGCTTATTCATTTGGGGGCGGGACCCGAGGGAAGACTGAATAGCGTTGTCGCGGCTCGAAGAGGGGCGGAGCCTGAGGGGCGGGACCTCGGGTGGCCCGAGGTGGCCTGGCTGCTGGGTCCTCAGCGGCGCAGTCCGACTAGTCTCGGCCCGGGGATGGCGTCCCCACGGGAACTGACCCAGAACCCACTGAAGAAGATCTGGATGCCGTACAGCAATGGGAGACCTGCTCTGCACGCCTGCCAACGTGGTGGTGAGGGGAGGGAGGTGCACCGGGATAGGTGGATAGAGGGCTTGGGTGGGAGTCTCTCGTGGAGAGGGAACAGGGGACTGGTGGGGAACCGGCACAGGCTATTATAACTGGTGGGAGGAGTCGGGGTTTGTGGGGGAGTTGGGGACGGTTGAAGAGGCGTGACAGTGGTGGGCTGAAGTGTGGTGGAGCAGGGAGTGGGTTCAGGTGTGTGGGGCTATTTCTGCTTGATAGGGTAGGTCTGGCCACCCTATCGGGGAAGGGACTGGCTTCTTTGCTCCCCATTCTGTACCCAGGGCCTTCCGCTAAGGGAGTACTTCGTGGAGAACTGAGCTGTGTGGCACTAGGAGAATCACTTGGCCTCTCTGAGTCCGAATTTTCAAAGGCCTAAGTATGGGCTAGTCCTCCAGAAGGAGAATGGGTGCTCCTTGGCCTTAATACCACGTTTTGGGAGGAGCTTTAGGGAATTACAAAGATGGGTCCATTATGGCATAGTGGTCTTATTGC